GGACAAACCCCCCTTTAGTAAACCTCCCCTTAGTGAAAACGGCCCAGGACCGAAACCGACGGACCTGGACCCGCAAAAAGGACGGCCGCGACGCCCTCTCGCGAACCGAAGACGGCCCCTTCCTTAATCGACGCAGCAGGGTAGGAGGTCTGTCAACCTTCGAAAATCTATTGCGCCAAATCTATTGCACCACCCCCTCGTCGCTGGACCCCCTTTGGGGTCAACCCGAGGCATGGGTGCCTCTTCCTCCTCTGCGCACCGCACCGCTCCCGGGGGTCGAGGAGCGCTGGCGCCTCGAAGAGGACCTGCGCCTCGAGAAAACCGCCCTGGCCGACCCCCTCCCTGAGGCCTGCCTCAACCGACCCCTCTGGCCAGCCCCGGCCGCCCCCTCTGGCGGGCCCTGGGCGGGGCAGCTGCACCCCACGAGATGGGAGGAGGAGGAGGAGGAGGAGGAGGAGGAGGAGGAGGAGGAGGAGGAGGAGGAGCTATGGCGCTATGGCCGAGGGCGCAGAAGGGGATCCCGACTGGGCCTCGGAACGGGAACGGGCGCGACCACGCGCCCGAGAGGGAAAGTCCGCCGCTAGTCCGAGTCCCCTGACTCGGGCTGGAGTGGCGGCGCGGGAGCCGAGGGGGGTGGGGAGCCACGGGCGCTGGCCCGCACAGAGCCGCTGCACAAGCTCGCGGCTCAGGGCTCCGACCCTCCTCTTCCTCGACTCCTCGGACGACCCCAACCACCCCGTCCGCCACCCCCGACCCCTCGACTTGAAGAGACTGAGCGGCGACCTCGTGGGCAATCGGGGCGAGCCTTAGCGGGCCTAGCGCCTCTCCCGTCTTGGGGTGGCGCCCTCGCTGGGCCTGCTGCAGCATTCTCTGACCCCCCCCCGCGCCCCGCCCACCCCAGCTCCACCACCGCCCCTCTCACGACGAGGCAGACAGGCACGGGCGAGGCCAATCGAGAGGCGGTTGGGCCGCACAGCATGCGCGCCACAACTGGCACAGATCAGCACGCGGTCGAGCACCTGGATCGAATGCCCAGGGCCGAACTGCTGGGGGTCACACACACGGGACGCGAGGGATTTGAGAGACGAGGGGGTCGTGGCCTGTCGCCAGCACTGCCGACAGCCGATCGCGCCCTCGGGGAAAAGACAGAAATCGTGGGTGGTCGCCTTGCGCTCTCTGCGCCTTCGAGGAGCAGGCGGCAGCGGCCGATGGACGACGGGGGACGCGAGTTTCGCCACCCGCTCGGCCGCGAAGGCCAGACATCGCATCCGCTGCTTCGCCTGCTCCAGCTCAAACTTAAACCCACGGACAACAGAGGACGACCCCGCCAAATCAAGCGCGGCCATCTTCGCGAAAAGATCGGCCCACATGTTCCCGAAAAAATTATCAAGCGGCTCCCCCGAGGACAAGCACGACGCAATGCCTTCTTCCACGAACCTGTGAGCACGAGTCCAGGAAAAACGGGGGAGGCGCTCTAAATCAGATTCATACAGCTGGTGCAACTGACGCCAAACACTCGCGTGGGGGGCCTCGGGCCGAGCATGCCTGCCAAACCACTAGGCCCCCTCTTGCGCCAGCGCCAGGTGATCGGTGACGAATTCAGACAGCCTGGACGCCAATTCAAGGTCTCGGAGCGCAGCGGAACGCTCGGCCCTGGGAACCGTTTGGATGGGGCCTCCGAGGCCTCCGAACACAGCTTTGCACGGCACAAAATTCGAGGCGATGGCCACAACGGCCCATCCACACCGACGGGCCTCGGGGAAATCACTATCAAAACACGATCCGTCTCCGTACAGCTTGGAAGGCCATGGTACCGCACGGGCACACCATTCTTTTAGATGCAGAAAACTAGGCTCGGGCGGCCGAAACATCGGCCTCATGGGCAGGGCGTAGAGCAGGTCGACCGACGAGAAATCCCACTCCAGGCCCACGCATGTCTGGCCCTGCTGCCAGATGCCCTTCCTTACCTGCAGGACGTCGTCGGGGCACGGGCTGCGCTCCTCATCCTCCTGCGCCTCGTGCACTGAGCAATTGAACAGCTCGTGATCCAGGTCCGCTGAGGTGTGTCCGCAGAACTCGCACACCGCATCGTCTGTGTATCCTGCCTCCTGCCTCCGAGCTGGGGTCCACATGCCGTGCGACTGGAGCTCAGCCAAAGCCCCTCGCAGGCCGTTGGACATCTTCTGCCGGTGCCCGTGCCGTTGCGCCCTGATCCAGATGTGCTGCCTACGTCCTTCGGCGTCACGACGTGGGGCTCCAGGCAGGCGGTCCAGGATGCGATGGCTCTGCCAGCGCTCGATGCCCAGGTACATGTAGTGCTTGACCTCGCTTGGGCACACTCTGAGGAGGTCGATGGCCGCTCCTAGGTCGTCGACAAGCGCCGTCGCGCTGATCATGTCCCAGCCGACTCTCCTCGACGTCAGCCACAGCGCCGACAATGGGCCGCGGGCGCTGGCCCACGCGACTGGAGAGCTGGCGCCGTCGAACTTCTCCTGCAGCGCCATCCACGCCCTCTGCAGCAGGACGGTCGATCCTCTTGCCGTCCAGACCCACGACGCATACTGCATCAGGATGCTGCAGGTCGCATGGAAGATGGGGTCGAAGTTGCGCTGCTTCTGCACCGCCAAGTACAAGGTGAGGGAGCCCGAGCCACTGAAACCACAGAAACTGCCAGCCATGCTTCGCAGCTGCTTCAGCTCCCCGTCGCTGGTGCCGCTGACCGCGGCACCGTGACCCACCGAGGGCATCACGCCAGTGGTCCAGAGCCGCGCGGCGCGCCTACGGCCAGCTCCCTTCTGCAGCGCCGACAAGCGAGGCCTCCTGGCCTGCATATTCTTGAGCCTGTCCTTCTGAACTCCGCGCACCGCGCCAGTGGCCGACATGTCGTGACCCAGGTACCGCATGTGGCGCCTGCCCTCGATCCTCAGCACCTTGGCGCACGCCCTGAAGTGGTACTTCGCCTGGCGTGTGACCGCGAGGTGCCCTGACTTGTTCAATTGCAGCACCAGCCCAAGTGGCCTGACCTCCTCGCAGAACACCTTTGTGGCCGTGGTCATGGCGCGCGACACCCGCGCGTCAGCCCCTGTCCAGGATAGCGCAACGTCGTCCACCAGGTCACGAGGCCGAACCTCACGGGCGACGGTCTTGGTCAACTTGATGCTGCGCGTGAGCAACACCATCAGCAGCGTGGTCGCACGAGCGCAACCCGCCAGGATGCCCTGGCAGATGACCCTATCCTCGGAGAACGAGTTATACGCGTATAAGGTGCGCGCCTGCTCGTACATCGTCACCAGCAGGTATGCCAGTCTCATGGGATACCCGTTGGCCCTGCACTCATCGAGGATCGCTTGGTGCCGAACCAACTCGTAGCATTTTAGCATGTCCAGGAGCACAATGACCGCATGTTGGTCCGACAGTTGGGCCGTCTCCTTCTCGAGCGCCAGGTCGAACGCTGCGCCCGTCGAGGAGCGGCCTCCGAGGTGCCCCCAGAACACCTCGGACGCGTTGGCGATCTCCCACTGCGCCGAGACTGGGCGCCGCGTCCGCCCCCAGACTCTCACCAAAGTGTTGAGGAGAGCGATCAGGCGCTATCCTCCCCCAGTTGGGCAGGCGAACAGGGCTTGGTGGTGAAGCGCGACTGTGGCCAAACCAATAGCTGCTCGCAACGGGAGAAAACCTGGGCCATCGCCTCGAGGGCCGCGTCTGACAGGAAATCGAGGGCCCGCGGCGCAATATTGATCTGCCCCGTCCCTGTACGCCAGCTGAACGCGCGGATCGCGCGACGGACGTCGGCGCCGCTCAACGGTGGTAACTGGTCCCAGTTGGCGGCATCGCTCGGCAGCTGGATCGGGCCATCCTTGTGCACCCTCCTGAACTCGCTCCAGTAGGACAGCTTGCGGTCGGCCAGCTGGTTGGCGCGCTGCACCCCTTCGCCGAAGTCGATCACCTCCTGGAGCGCCTGCGGCTTCGAAAAAACATGCGGGCGCGGCTGGCCCCTCCATCGAAGGATGCCACAGCCCTCGCCTGCCACCTGGACATGACCTGCTTCTCGCGGGACCGCTGCATGGCCTCGGACTTGGCCAGGGCGCGGTCGATCTGCTGGTCGAACGTGACCACCTCCATCTTGAACGCCTCGAGCCCCTGGCAGAAGAAATCGATCGCCTCGCTGTCCAAATACTGCCATGCCTCCTGCCTGGCAGCCATCCGCTTGAGAAAGTACTGAAACTCGAGGATGTGCCTGGCCGTCTTGACGCACAGCTCGCTGCAATACGCGGCCGGAGAAGACGGCGGAGGCGGCGCTTGCCAGCTGCCAGCACTCGGCTCACCTCCACGGGGTCGCCGCGCCCAGCCCACCTCGCTGAGGGCCAGCTTCGCTGCAAACCTGGGGCCCCTGCTTCCCGCGACCTCCACCGGAACGGTCGCGGTCCTGGCGGGCCTGCCTCTCGAGCGCGGCTCTTCGGGAGGCGGCCTTGCACCAGACGGCGCGCCCGCCTGCCCACCCTCGCTGTAGTCCTGCAGCACGAACGCGGGCGACGCGGACAGCTTCGACATGAAAGACACCAGCGCCATGCGAACACGCCGAAAATGCCGATCCCACCTTGCCGCGGTGAGCCACGCTGCCACGTCGGGGACCTTCCGCTTCCAGGACTGACGCTCGTCGTGCTCGAACTTGGCCCACTTGAAGGACGGTGCCATCGGCTGCGACAGAAACCTGGCGGCGTAGGGCCCGACGACGTCGCACCTCCCTTGCAGCTCGAACCCCACGCCCAGCAACAACTGATCCCAAACCTCAGCCAAGTCCTCCGCGGACTGGGCCTGCGACACAAGCTCCTTGGAGGGGTCCCAGTCGCGCGGGGGCCTGGCACAACCGACCTTAGGCTCCTTGGTGAATCCCTTGGCCTGCTCGAGCTTCCGTGTCCACATGACCTGGGCCGATGCTCTGAGCTGCATCGTGACGGGCAGGCGAGGCCAGGTGTTGGCCCCCTCCACAGTCGCAGTGCTCAACCTGGGAACAGCTGTGCTGCCGCGAAGAAGAAGTCAATGGCGCGGCCTGGGAGCGACTGCAGGCAGGTGGGCGCCGAGGGCACCAGCGCGACACCATTGACGGAGTGAAGCCACGCTAACGTGCCCAACTGCTTCAGCTCCATGTTGAAGTCTCCTCCCACAACCCACGGCATCTGCATCGAGTCCACCACCTTGAGATACTGATAGAGCCTGAAGAGAATGGCCAGTTTCTCATGCGACATCTGCTCGTCAACTCTCAAGTACACGGAGATCATGAAGAAGCCTCGCTTGCCGCCACAGTTGACATGGGCGGCCACCATCCTCCCTGGCTCTAGCGTTGGCCCTTCCAGGGCTGGGGGCGCCGTGATGAGCACGCGCCGAGGCACAAGCACGGCGACTCCGCCTTTGCTACCAGCACCGAGCCCTGGGAGTGCTGCCTCCCAGACCCCATGGAAGCCCTCGGCCAGGGCGTCCTGCTGGGCCTTGGCCAGGCCCGCGGGCAGCGCGTGGTGCTCCTGCACGGCGATGCACATGCTGGAGCATGAGGCCAGGTAGTCGACGAGCGGGCCACCTGCCGAGACGTTGAGTGTGGCGATGCCAGTGGGCTTAGCCATGGTGCAGACGATGGAGCACAAAACCCAGAACAGCCTCGGGAAAAGGGCGGGGCAACTACGCGGCAGCCTTGCGCCGCTTACACCAGTGCTTGGCCAGGATATCTTCGATCTTCCTCTTGTCGCCGCCAGCGTTGGCCATCTCCTCGATGAGCTCCTCGCTGGGGGCGGCGTCCTCATCCTGGTCCATGGGTACTGGCACCTCTGCCGCGCCTTCGGCCCGCTGCCGCTCCGCCTCGGCTGCGGCGTTGGCCTCTCGCTCCTCCTGCTGCTTGGTGCGCGCCTCTTCCGCCTCCTGCTTGAGCCGTTCAAGGTCCTCCTTGAGCCTCTCCGCCAGGCTGTGCTCGGCGCCGAGGACGCCCAGCACCTCGCCAAGGCCTGACAGAGTCTGGCCCAGCCGTTTGATCGGCTCGTCAACAGGTCCCTTCCCAACCTCGAAGGCCAGTGGCACGGGGGCCTCGCTCTGCAGCTGCCGCTGCTGCTCCTGCAACTCCTCCATTTGCAGGGCCAGGGCCGTGCACTGGGCTTGCGCCGCCTTCTCCTGCTCCTGCAAGACCGCGAGCTTCTCATGGATGCCAGCGAGCCGCCGCTGCTGATCGTCCTGCAGCTTCTGGTGCTTGGAGATCTGGGTCCCAAGGTCTCGCAGCCTTTGGCCCATCGGCCGTGCGGCTGCCAACTTGGCCTTGAGCTCGCCCTGCTCTTTGGTGTAAGCCTCCTTGGCCCGCACGAGATGGACGTCCTCACTGCCGCTGACCGTCTTGAGCAACTCGGCCAGGACCTGCAGCCGCTGCTTGTCCCGCTCGCTACCGCTGGGTGCGTCCGTCTCCTCAGAGGCGGGGCGCTTGCCGTCCAGCCTCTTGAACTTCGCCTGGGTCGAAGCCAATTCCTGCTTGAGCTTCTGCACCTGCACGGAGTCTGCCCATGCCGAGAAAGACCTCCCAGGCCTGCGCAGCGAGGGCGACGAGGGGGCGCGGTACTCTTTGAAGCAGAGCCTTTTGCCCAGCTTGCACATGGTGCAGGACGTCGCGCCGGCGTAGTTGAACCACGGGAGGCCCTTGGGCCCGACGCAGCTCTTGCAGTACCAGTGGCGCTTGCTCTGCTCCGAGCGGAAGTGCGGCGGTGCCATCCTGCACTCTGGCCACGCAGGCCACGAAGGAGGCGGGCCGCCGTGGCAGCGCAAGCGGGGCCGGACTGGATGTGGGTGCCCAACTCCCACGGTGAAGGCGAACGGTGGTCTGGCCGCGGACTAGCGGTATCCGTGTGGTCCCCAGGGGCACCAATCATCTTGAGCCAAAATGGCTACGGAGGAGGAGGAGGAAGAGGAGGAGGGGGAAGAGGAGGAGGAGGAAGAGGAGGAGGAGAAGGAGGAGTAAGAGGAGGAGGAGGAGGAGGAGGAGGAGAAGGAGGAGGAGGGGGAGGAGGAGGGGGAGGAGGAGCAGTCGGACCTGGGCCAGAAGAGCATCCCTGAAGGACTTGAGAGCCTCAGTCGGCCAAAGCCAGCAGAACATACGAGGGTACCCCACTGAAGGAGCCCTGGCACACACACACACACACACACACAAATAAGCAAACACAAAGAACAGGATTCCCCATGCTTGCGTATATGTTCTGGGCTTTTGTCTTCCCCCCCGCTTCCATTTGTGTCTGCGTGTTTCCCTTAAAACAAGGCTGGGATCGGGATAAATCGCTCCAGAGCGTTCCGGAGCGCTCTCAGAGCGGTCCGGAACGCTCTGGAGCGGCCGCGGCGCCCAATACATCCTCCAAACCCGCCGATTCTCAGAGATCTCGAGTTATCCCGATCCGATTTTGTCCCGATCTTCGCGTCGTTTTAACCCTCCTGACCTACCTAGGATGCACACATCCCACAAACACGAAGAAAATCCAACAGACCGAAGAGGCCCCGACCTCACGCCTCGGTCCGGCCGCGGCACGCTCCCCCCGCGCTCTGCGCTCCGCGCCCGCCGCCCTCCGCCTGCCCCCCAACGGGTCGCCGCCCCGGCGAGGTGGCCCCGATCCCGCCCGTGCGGGGCAGGCGCCCAAGGGCGCGGCAGACAGCAGGGGACAATGCCACCAGCCCTCTGGGCGCAGGTGGTCTAGGGAGCTTCCTCTTCAAAGCCCCCCTTTTCCCCTTCGGGGAGGGGCTGACCCCTCCCCTCTAAAGCCCCTCCCCTGGACCTGGAGAGGAGGTTCGGCGAGGGGTTGGAGCATCCAAGATGGCCCAAGACGGCTCCAAAAACGCCTCAGGGAGCCCAAGATGACCTCCAAGATGGCTCAAGATAGCCCCCAAGATGCCTCGAGATAGCTCCCAAGAAGCTCCAAGAGGCCCCAAGAACGCTCCAAGACGGCTCCAGGTGGCCACGGAGCCTCCCCAGGAGGCCGCCAAGAGGCCCAAATCCCTGCAGAACCTAAAGAAAATCAATGTTGCTTGCTTTCTCGCCTTCTCGCTTCCGATGACCATCCGAGGCCTCAATATGGGCTCTAAGATGGCCCACGAGGGCCCCAAGAGAGGCCCAAGAGAGCCCGAAGACGGCCACAAGAGCGCCCAAGAGCGTTCCAAGAGCGCCCCAAGAGGCGATTATAGGCAGTCGGGCAAGGCTAATGGAAGCTCACCTCTTGTTTGATCGATGTCTTCCAAGATCGCTCCAAGAGTGCCCCTAAAGCTCCCAAGAGCGCCCCGAGAGCGCCCCAAGAGGGCCCCAAGAGGCGCCCAGACGGCCCCAAGAGGCGCCCAAGGGGCCTCCAAGAGGCTCCCAAGAGACCCCCAAGAGACCTTAAGAGGATCCTCGGGGCACCCAAGACGCTCACAGGCGGCCCTGTGCCCGCCAAGATGCCCCCTGGACGCCCAAAGAGGCCTCCAAAAAGCTCCCAAGAGACATCCGAAGCGACTCCGAGAGGCTCTCAACAGGCTTCTGGCTCTTTTGTTCGCTCCTTTCCTTCTCCTCATCCTCCCCCTCCTTATCCTCCTGATCCTCCTCCTCCTTAGCGCCGCGCGCATTCGTATTTGTCTATTTTACGTCGCAAGAGTTTCACGGATTCCCATGATCAGCGTACCTGAACTGTGTGTTGGAAGGATTCAGGATTACGAGGGTGCAACGGCCACGTTGATTCGCGATGTTGGAGTCCCAGGAATGGCGTTCTGGCACGAATCAGGATCACCAAGGCGCAACAGTCAGGTTGATCCGTGGCGTTGGAATCCCGAGAGCCATGATGTGGCATGATTCAGGGTCTTCAAACGGCTGTCTTCCAACGAGGCAATTCCCTCAGAAGAAATGAACCGTTGTATGGGCATTGAAGAGGGAGATTGGAGGGAGGCCTTATTCCAACATCGTTGATGACTCTTGGATTTACACTGGTCCGCTTACTCCTCCTCCTCCTCACTCCTGCTTCCTCCCGCCTGGGCGTCGGTTTTGGATGGGCTGGTGGGGATACTTTTTTGCTCGCGGCCACGGGCGAAATCGCCGACGGCGTCAGCAGAGTTAGCTCGGGCTACGAGCAACCTAATTGCCGGCGCGCGCGCCGAACAGGCAAGACCTACCGCCGAGGGAAGCAGCCGCGCCAGGGCTGAGCTGCGCCGAGGGGGGGGGGACTGCCGCTGGTGGGGATACGCGAAGCGTCAAGAATTTGGGGCAGGTTCCACCCTTTCAGCGTGCGGATCGGAGCCCTCTGGGGGCCGGCCCGAGAAAGCCTGGGGCTGTCCAGGTGCTTTCGGGGCAAGCGCCGCGCGGAAACGAAGAGCCGAGTCGCTCACACGTCTCTACAGATCCCCGCGGAGCCCGAAGGCAGCACTCAAGATCTATGACCCTGGCAGTCCGCGCCATCGATGATCCCACTGCACACATACCACAGCGCCCTGGGCACTCGTTGACGCAAGTTCCCCAGCGCTTAAGACTAGACCGTGTTAGGCTTTAGTTTCGCCTCCCGCATCTCGCCGAGGAGTAACAGAGCCCACTGCCACTGCTCACCCTTCTCGCAGGCGCTGATCCCAGCACTGTAGCACATGACGTCGGGCACCAACTTCGCCAGCCACACCTCACTCAGCAACGACAGGGCCAGCTTCCACCGCGCGCCTTTCGCACACGCGCTGATCCCAGCGCCGTAGCTGATAATATCAGGCTTCGATTTTGTCTGCCTCATTTCATCGATCAGACACAATGCCCACTGCCACTGCCCACATTTATCGCACGCGCTGACCCCAGCGTTGTAGCTGACTAGTGTGTACCCGTGGGGTGGATCACCACCGTCGAAGCACAGGGGGCAGTGCCTGCAAGGCAGGGTCCAACAACCTGTCACGAAAAAGGGTCTTGCTTGTGACAGGTTGTTGACTACTCTTGGAGACTTTTGAGGGTCTCCGTGGCCGTCGTCGTTGTCGCCGCCGTCGTCATCGTCGCCGGAGGCGGCATCGACGACGACGACGACGACGACGACGACGACGACGAAGACGAAGACGAAGACGACGACCTTCTCGCTGACGGAAAATTTTGGGCTCGCAAGCCCAAGAAGGCCGTTCGGACCAGGCAGCTGGCAGGATCCGTTATTTTTTCGGTGGCCCTAAGAGGCCTTACGGCCAGAGAAAAAACGGGGGGGCGGCCCGACGACGACGACGACGACGACGACGACGACGACCTTCTCGCTGAAGGAAAACTTGGGGCTCGCAGGCCCAAGAGGGCCGTTCGGAGCAGGCAGCTGGCAGGATCCGTTGTTTTTTCGGTGGCCCTAAGAGGCCCTACGGCCAGAGAAAAACGAGGGGGCGGCCCGACGACGACGACGACGACGACGATGACGACGGCGGCGACGACGGCGGCGACGACGGGGACGACGACGACGACGACGACGACGACGACGACGACGACGACGACGGCTCCTGGAGTGGCTGTGCACCGCAGCGCCCATGGTGAAAGAGGCAGGTGGAAGCACCGGTCGATGACGAAGCTCACGACCGAATCCGCAACCTCAGGTAGGGAGGTCAGGCGTTCAGGTGTGGCCCGTCTTGGCGGCGCTCCCTTGGCTCACTTGGGGCTCTCTGGGTAGCCTCTTGAAGAGTCCTTTTGGAGCTCTTTGGGGCCGTCTCAGCGCTCTCTGGGGCCATCCTGGGGCCCTCTTGGGTCGTCTTGGAGGGCTCGGGCTGTCTTGGGGCCCTCGTGCTGCCGTCTGGGGCTCCCTTGGGAGCCTCCCGTGGCCCTCTCGGGGCTTTCCTGGGAGCGTTTTGGAGCCCTCCGGGGTCCGTCTTGGGCCGTCCTGGAGCTCCCTGGGGCCGTCTTGGGGCTCTCTTGGGCCGTCTGGGCGTGCTCTTGGATGCCTCTGGGGCAGTGTTGAGGCGGTTTTGGATGCTCATCCGGCCTTCTTGGACGCTCTGCCGACCCAGAACGCGACTCTGGCAAAAATATACGTTTTCCGACAGGAATGGGGCGATTTTTGTTTCGTGGGGGTCCTTTCGGAAGCCTCAGGGGGCGGCTTCGGAGCGTCTGGAGCCGTCCTGGAGCCGTCTGCGGGGCGTGCCGCGTCGATCTGGAGCGGTCTTGGGCCGTCCGCTGCGCGATCGGGGCCGCTCCGAAGGCTCCGCGGCGGCCCCGGGGGCTGCCCGGGGCGGCCCGGAGCGCCGAAGGGTTTGCTGGGAGCGGCCCGGAGGAGGCCGGTTCGATGCCACCGAAAGCTTTGCCACACTCGCTGAACGCTACATTGTAGGAGAGATTACGTTAGGTGCCAGCTTCGCGTCTCTCATCTCGCCCAGCAGCCCCAGGGCCCGCTGCCACTGCCTGCCTTTCTCACACGCGCTGATCCCGGAGTTGTAGCTGACTGCGTTGGGTGCCAGCTTCGCGTCCCTCATCTCCACCAGCAGCCCCAGGGCCCGTTGCCACTGCTCGCCCTTCTCGCACGCGCTGATCCCAGCGCTGTAGTTGATGACGTCGGGATCCAGCTTCGTCTGCCGCATCTCGCTGAGCAACCACAATGCCCGCTGCCACTGCTCGCCTTTCTCACACGCGCTGATCCCAGCGCTGTAGCTGACTGGCGTGCGTAGTCCATGGATACCCTTCCGAGAAGGAGACCTCGTGTCAACCGCCACGCCCGCCAGACGAGGGCCAATCACCGCGACACCCACCAGGTCGGGGCAGCTTGGGAAAGGGTCAT